TGCAATTTCCAGTAATCTATATAGCTTGCTGGAAAATAAATATATACAGCAACAACACAAAGCTTCACATTTGACAGAAAAGGCAAAACCAGTAACATTTTGTCCAACATTGTCAACCAGTGAACCATTCATACTTATGCCCCATTTACACATACACGGGTATTTTTAAAAACAGAGACATTTCCCTTTGTCTGTACCCATCTTGCATCTTTTACATGCAAACAGCAAATTCACCTCTGAAAACACATCTTTCTTAAAACTCCAACTAGAGTGAAGATTCTGCAAAACCACAGTTTGGCGTTTGTGTGTAAAGTGAGATAAACATATTTTTAGGCAGCTGACGCGCCAAAAGTGCGACTAATGTTTACCTTTTGCTCTGATGATGATGATGGAGCATTCAGAGCAGCAGTCACATTTCTTCAGGTGCAAACACTTTTCATGAGTTTGCATTTGCACACAGCTGATGTTTTATATCCATAACCAGAGACAAATGAGTTCGCAGGTCAGCAAGTTTGCCAACAGATCTGCGGAGAGGCAAGCCCGCAGTAATGCATGATTTTCACTTACAACTGTAATAAAATAAACCAAATAAATGCTACAGGTTTGAATCTAATCCAGGTGCTGCCATAGGCTTGGCATAGTTATGATGGCGCTCGATGGCATATTTATGCGGGTTGATGTAAATGAAAACTTTTTTGAAACCAATGCAATGTGCACAATGTTTTTTGGGAAAACAGAGGGAGGGAAATATTTGTTTCTCAACATACCCGGCTGTGTGTAAACGTCGCCTTAGGCTTTTGCATTCTCATTCTATTGGCTATTTCAACTTGCCACAACAGGGGCAGCACATTATACTTCAATACTGGCTAATTGCTGTTGCAGAGAAATGAATATATTCAAAAACACTATATTTCTGTCCAACAGTGAAGTTAATTGTAAAATATGAATGATAAATAAGAGTTTTTGGTTTTTTTTCTTCTTATTAAGTCCTTCTTTAGCCTTGTTTTGGTCTTGGTTTAGTCTAATTAATCCTTAAAAAGTAGATTAAAATATTACAATAAAAAACGTAGTTCTTTTTCTCATACTGTTTGGCCCCTAACCCTTCTACACACCATCTACAGCGCAGCAGCAGAACAGTCAGCTTCTTCATCTCCTCCTCTTCACCACCAGAGGAAGATTCACGTTTTCCCTCCCTGCTTTGCTTGAATTTGAATGTATTGACTCAATCTACAGCAGCTGCATAAATAATAGGATAGTATTTGATTGGAGTAAACAACCGTTGTATGTAACGCTGCATAATGCTCGGTGCATACATTCTGCTGGAATATACATGTTTTGCTTATTTTCCATATGCTGCGATGTAAAACTGATGACGCAGATACAAAACCCAATTATCTTGTGTAGTGCAGTTTCTGGGGCAAACAGAAAAGTGCCGACCCAACACTCCGTGACTCCTCCCCCTGGAAAAGTGTGCCACCTGCTCTCCTACTGGCTGATTAATGGAACTACAGTTTTAGCTTGCACCTGCACTACACACTTTACTATAGCACACTGTTTGAATACAACTTTTTGTAGCTTATTTATATGATCTAATTTAACTTTTCAAAGAACAATGTTTCAGATGTGTCTACCCATTTTTATATAGTTTATTTTATTTCTTATGCAGAACATTAAGCAGGTGGCAGATTATACAATGGATAAGTTATCCATTGTATAATCTGCCACCTGCTTAATGTTATTGCTTTGCCTGTTATTAGGACAAGTAGATACTGTAACACTCCCAGGCCAAGTTACAGGTCAGATCTGTGGAGAGGCAAGCCTGCTCGTAGCTCAATTTCTTTGAGTTTTGTTTTAGCTATACAAACACCATCCATCCATTTTCTTCTGCTTATCTGGGGCCAGGTCGCAGGGGCAGCAGTCTAACCAGGAACTCTCACACTTCCTTCACCCCAGACACTTCCTCCAGCTCTTCCGGGGGGATCCTAGGCCAGCTTAGAGACATTGTCCCTCCAGCGTGTTCTGGGTCTTTCCCCAGGCCTTCTCCCTGTGGGACATGCTCCCGAGGGAGGCGCTCAGGAGGCATCCGGAGCAGATGCCCGAGTCACCTCAGCTGCTCCTCTCGACGTGGAGGAGCAGCGGCTCTACTCCGAGCTCCTCCCTCCCAGACAAACACCATGTAGTTTAATAAATGATTTTAAATTGAATAAACTACACCTGAAATCCAGTTGGTTTAAGTCTAAAATGCCTTTATCTGATTGAATCCTGACTACCTAAACGAAAGTAGCTGCCCCCAGTCATGAACCAGTGCTAGTGCAGCCTCTTCAGCTCAGTGAATGAATTCTGGAGGTTCTGAGCATTCACAAGAGGTCTGTCCATATACTGAGAATGAGGAAAACTTGTATGTGTGTCCTCTATCTGCAGGTTAAAGCGCTGGCAACCCTTGTTTAGTTGTGATTGTGGTACCTTTTATAAATCAGTAGGAGCACAGGTTAAACTGTTCCTTTAACTACTCTATACTTCTGAATGAATGGCGTTTGGCACCTTGAAGTACTCTGACACTTCACTGGACCTCTAATCAATACCCACTGTATTATTTACAATGGTTGGAGCCCATGAGCTTCAGGTTAACAGAGCTTGGAATGTGACTACTGCAAAGTCACAAGTTTACACATCTAAATATGAAAACTGTTGTCAATATGTTGTACTTTGCAATATCAGCAACAATAGCTCCTGTATGTGGTGATTTATTCATGACAGAGGGAGGGGTGGCGGGGCAGAGGGGCAGGGGGAGGGCACAGGCCGGTGACTGAGCTCATATCAAAGTACTGTCAGCACGCCCTTCAGAAGACAGAGGTCGGCTCAGAGGCATGCACCATTGATTACACCAGGGTTTAGATTGGAAACAAATCAACAAGGAGAATGAACACTAAACTATATGCCAATAAAAAGCAATCATATCTTTAATTTGATCACTTTATTCAATTATATAAGGCAGGGCAAGTTTATTTATATAGCAAATTTTTTACACAAAATACATTAAGTCACAATCCAAACAAATCAAAACATCAATAATCATCATGAAATTAAAGAGAGAGCGAGACATTAAATGAGAGAGAAGAGTACAGAATGAAAACAGTCATATGCAGCTAAACAGAACTGTTTTGAGCCTGCACTGGAGAAAAAACAATATCTAGTTAACTTAAAATGACTTAAATTAAGAACATGTTACTTTATTTGAGTAGATTTAACTTGACAAGTAAAATGATCTACCAGTGGAATAAATGTGTTTTTCATAATTTAAGCAACATGTGATTTCGTTTCTTATTTTAAGTGTACCAAAATGTATTTTCATACAAGTCTTATTCCACTGGCAGATCATTTTACTTGTCAAGTGAAATTTACTCAAATCATGATAAAATGGTCTTAATTCAAGTCATCTGAACTTGACTAGATTTTGTGTTTTGCAGTGTGGATTTAAACAGAGTCAAAGTAGAGGCGTGTCTCACATCTTCAGGAAAACTGTTCTGACTGAAGCTGCATGAATCTGAAACGCTGACCCCCCGTGTTTAGTCCTGACCCTGGGCACCAGCAGGAGGCCTGTTCCTGAGCTCCTCAGAGTGCGGATGGTTCATATGGCACTAACATGTCACAGATGTACTTTGGTGCTAGGTCATGGAGAGACTTGTTCACAAGCAGAGCCGCTTTAAAGTCTATTCTCTGAGTAAAGCCTTAACTCTATTCTCTGAGCCACAGGGGTCAGTGCAGAGATCTGAGCACTAGGATGTGCTCGTACTTCTTGGTTCGGGTCAGGACCCGAGCTGCAGTTTTCTGGATGTACTGCAGCTGTCTTACAGCTCGTTTCGAGAGTTCAGTGAGTAGGCCGTTACAGCAGTCTAACCCACTGGAGACAAACACATGGATAAGTCTCTCCAAGTCTGTTTTAGACAGTATGATTGTTGCTTTTTTAGATGGTAAAATGCTGCAGATGTTATTGATTTGATGTGTCTGTTCAAGTTCAAGTCTGAGTCCATTATATTACTACAAGTTACAGTGTTATCCTTTTGATTCAAGTTTGCCACAGTAAATCTATAACAGTTATGGGGAGAGAGTAACTCAGTTGATAGAGGGTTTGTTCATCATTGGTAGAACGGTCATGTCCATCGACCCTCAGGTTGGTAGTGCAATTCCAGCTCCTACAGAGGAATATTATGGTTGTGGTCCTTGGGGAATACACTTAACCAACCTTGCTCGCAGTGCCTGTGTACACAAGTGTGTGAATGGGTGAACTATTGTAAATGTGTATAGTCCCAGAAAGTTGCCACTCTGTGAAAATATGAATAACTTTGCTGGCTTTTTCTGTTCTGACAATTTTTGTAAATATTTATTTTTATAAATTCTAATTCTTTGGTTATTCTGCAGTATGTCATCATAAGGAATCTATCATATATTTCATTTTGGGTGTTTTATTGTTGAAAATAGACTCACCACCTGCCTGTCTCCATGGAGTTAAAGGCCATACCAGAAAAGTTGCGTAGTGCACCTTTAACAGTTGAAGTTCTGAGGCTGGTGCTTCTGCTGCTGTACGGTTTGACAGTGAAAGCTTGAAGAGGGAGAGACATTTATGAATAATTAAATGTGATTGGTTGTGAGGCAAAGATATTAGACCGTGATTGGCTGAAAGCAACAGGAATTCTGAAATAAAGATTTAAAGCGTTTTGAAAATTAACTTGTTGAAGTGAACAGTTGCTCCGTACCTCTCCAGTCCTGTCATCTTTTGAGTGTATCCTCTCTTATCCTTGGCACATAAATGCACTAATGACCACCATAGCTCAGCTCTATGGGAAGCAGCTTGTGTCACTACACCCCTTTTCATCTCCACAGGGGAAGCTCTAAGTGCAGAAATGCTGGGGTGCTGTCAGCTGATTATTTTTGAATTATGTATTGTCTCGTTAAAATTGAAGTTTTAATTTATGTTCAATATGTTTTTGGTGTCTTCGCAGAAACCTGGGGAAGTCTGGACTGCGAGTATCGTGCCTAGGACTTGGTGAGTAAACAGATGTATTCTATGTAATGTAATATTCTTAAAGATGCACCACGGAACTTTTCTGGTGAAAGGTGCACCATCTACACCTTGAAAAACATGTATTCTTACTCTGAGCGGTGTTGCCTCTCCATAGATCTGACCTGTCTTGAGGTCCGACAGTGTCACCTACTTTTGTCTCCATGGAGGTGTATTATTGTCATGCTATGGACAACTAGCCAGGCTGGTGCCACCTAGTGCCTCCACTCAATTTCATTTCTCTCCAGCGACTAGGTCAGGAATCAGAATACACTAGAGTCTAGTGACTAGATAGTTTGCAAGAACCCCAGAAGTTGTAGACCGCGCACCGGCCAATCAGTGAAGAGCTGTGAAGCCATGACGTCAAACTCAAGTGCCTGTCTGGGTCCCTTTTGTGGTACAGCACAACAGTAAACAAAGCGATCGAGATGGATGTAGACGAAGACATACATTCTGTTTTGGCAAAGATTCCCGAGATCGAGGATTTAAAGCCGGAACAAAGAGAATGTTTGGTGAATTTTATCAAGGGGATAGACGTTATTGCTTTTTTTCCTCCGGGGTTTAGTGCATTACATATGTCATGACGAAATAGCAGTGATTGGTAACATAAAAAAAGTACCCGCCTACCATCGAGCAAATGAATCCTAATGCTACGAGGTCAGATGCTTTCCATGAAGTGAAACCGGCTGATGAATCAGGTTAATGGGCGGTTATCCTGTTACGCAGAATTGACTCTTGTGTGCTTTTAGTGAGTTGTATTTTGTTTCATTCACACATATTTGAGTTAGTCTTTGCCGGTAATCCTTTATTATTAGTCTATCTACATCCCCAAAGCTCAAAATACTCTGTTCCACCCTGTGATGTCATGAACCTTTTGTTGAGTATAGTTTAGCAATTCTAGGGCTGAAATGATCCAAATCATTCTAGTGAAGGTGTATGGAATTTAAAATCAAAGTAGAGAATTTCCTGTTTTGCCACATGACCTCACAAGTTGGAATAGAGTGTTTTATGTTTGAGGAAAGAACTCAAAAACTCAAAACACATCTCCACGGAGAGAAGCAAGTGGCGGACCCTCATCCAGAAAAGTTATATTGCTCATCTAAAAAAGGCTATTGTGTTTTTTCTGGTTCCAAGTCTTGAACTGTGATTTCGTATTGAACTGTTATATGAGACATTCATCATTTGTCTTTTAATCTAGTCTTTTTATGTAGAAAAAGCTTCAGAGTTTGTTATCTGGAGTGCACACTGTTTACTTCCTATTGAGAAGTCATTTTGATTGGACTGATGTGACAAACTAAAACAAAATAATAATAATACAGTAATAATAGTTTTACATTGTGTTCTTTGTAAACCTCCGTATTAATGTCAAACAGTTTAATAATAGAAATGGGACTATTTACTTTCTGTTCAAAACTGTAGTGCTGATCGTAGTGGCATCTCACTTTAACAACAGGGACGTGGGCGGGGCTAGGGCAGGGGTCACCAAACTTTTTTCTCTGGGGGCCACATTATCGCTGCTGACCGTGACTGGAGCTGTATAACATAATTGTATGCCCCTGACGACGCAGATTATGTTCTTTGAAAACTGACACACTTTCTTTACATTTCAGACAAACTGCAGGCTCCTTACACTGAACCAAACAAATAATTGGTCGTCCACTGTTCTTTGAAAACTCGGGACTGTCAACTTTTCATACTTTAACATGAGCCTTTTTGCTGTCCTTAACTGCACTACAGAATTCTGCGTGTGCGTTGACTGTCACTATTTGATCTTGAGCTTGTCCGATGATGAAAATTTGGCGGCAAAAGTAAATACGTCATATAATTATTTTAATATAAATGTAAATACTTCATATAAATATAATTTCTTAATTGAAAAAATCAACAAAATACAAGAAGCAGGCGTGTTATTATTTGACAAAAAGTCATTAAAAAAATTGGTCATGACAACTTGAGGATTGCCTCATGGGGCCAGTTCAAGTGGTGGGGGACAGAGAGGCTGGGGGGCCGACGAAAGGGGCGTGGAGGGCCGGAGTCAGCCCACAGGCCTTAATTTGATGACCCCTGGGCTATGGGGTTGGTAAAAACTGACATTTTTTTCTTAAGCCTCTATATAAGACCATACAAACACAAACAAGCATGAATCCATCAAATTTTCATATGAGATGTCCTCTTTAAATGAACAAAATCCTAATATCAGTTTGGAGAATTTGAGGACAACTTTCTACAGCCATCACTGAAATAGTTTTAAGAGACTAACATCTCATATTCTGAATTGCTTTGCTTGGTCCATGTTGGGCTGTTGTGGGCGGCTGTATACGTTTCTCAGAAAATCCAAAGCCAGACCCATTTTAGCTCAGCGTTTAGCCTGTGAGTGGGAGCAGACAGACCACACAGCCCACTATTTGTACCATGAAATACAACGCCTTACCACAAATAAACGCTATACTTTTTGGCTTGTGAGAAACTTGGCGCGGTACAGACATATAACTCCTTCAAAGTACACAACGTGAAGTTATCGTGCAGAATGTGTCAGCAGTTTGTGTATTAGTTGGTGTTCCTATATTGAGCATCTCTGTAGGGCTGTAAATACATGACCTGTGCATTTCTGTAAGAGTCTGCCCCCTGAGTGCTGGAGTCACAGCCGGGCATAAGCTGCTTATTTCATCATATTTACTGTACCTTTTTACAATTCTATATAACTTCTGGTTTGTGGGATCCACTTCTGGACTTATATGATGGTTTATGTAATAGGTGATGTGGACTGGGCGTATTGTTTTTGTTTATTTTATAATGTTATGACATGTTTGAAGGGCCCATATTACTCTATTTTATGATCTATGTGTTTCCTCGTTAAAAATATATCTGGAGTTGTGTTTTGTTTCATTCACACATGTTTAACACACAAACCCTGCACATTTAGGCGGAGTTTTTCTCTCAAACAGAAAACACTCTGTTCCACCTTGTGTTTTTAAAATCCATACACCTTCACTAGAATCATCTGGATGATTTTAGATGAGGATAAATTGAGATGAGATAAGTTATGACTGAATTTGTGTGTCAAGATTTGAGACTATTGCATTCACTTAAAATTCTCCATATAATCTGGGGACCCTCTGAAATCATTTTGCAAACTCCATGAGGACCTCGACTTCTGAGAACCATTCGTCTAATGTAATGTAAATCAGCTAAAACACCAAGACACAAAATCAAGCAGTAGTCACGCCATGAAAAGTGGTCAGTGGTGCTTTTGCTCATACTGTATATAATGGACTAAACCACTGCAGTGCATTTGTGCAGTATGTGGTGATATGTTATGTTTTTATTAATGAAGTAATGGCTGTATGGAGGAGTGTTTGTTAATTGGTTAATGTTAAAAATATTACTGATCCATGTATTTTGTTTAGTAAAACCTTAAAACCCTGATGTGATCATTGGTTTCCCCAGGGGAGGGGCTAAGGGGATATTTACACCTTGTATATGGGCCCGGTCAAGCAGAAGTATACAGCAAGGCCAAAAATTCAAGTTAATGCATCTGATATAAAAATGTATTCAACAGATAGAATATGTACTCTAGTTTATGAAACTGTTCACCTTTTTTCTGTACCACTTTTGGTTCTAAAGTTACATATGTTTTAAACAGACCATGTATGAAACATGGAACAAAAATTATTTCCCAAATTTCAAAGACCTGCAAATCATGTAAATAAATGGATGTATTTCATCATATCTTGTGTTATTCCATCTTTGAACTGTTGATGAAGGTACATGATTTTTCAAAAAAAAAAAAGTATTTAAAATGATAAAAAATTTGCTTGGAAGGACTGACATATTTTTATAGAAATAGTTTACCTTTCATTTTGAAGTAATATTAAAGTATTGGGAAGAAAAAAAGCTGACAAATTATGCAAAATCATGCACCTTCTACTTGCTTGCACAATTTTCCCTCCGTTACTTTTCTCTCCGTTACCATGACCTTTCTTAATAAAAAATCTCATTACTCAAAAAGTAAGAGGTTTTTCAATCTAATCTTGTACCATATGGTAGAAAACTATATGAAGCAAATATTCAAACCAGTTTGTTAAGGATATGTAAGTGAGAACCACTAGTTATGACTGTTTGTATTTATTGCCCAAAAAGTGCTGCATATTTCATTCCCTCCGTTACTGACATGAGTTTTTAAATATTTTTGTTAACAACTTGAAAGAATATCACAGGTTTAACTTTACCCTGTTGGAGTGTTAACTCTTTCTTACATTCTAATACTTTACTTATTTCAATAGTCCCTCTAGTTTCTGAATAAGAGCTATTTGAATGTAAAAAATCTGCTCCTGTTTCCCTCCGTTACCACTTGACCGGACCCATATACACAAGGTGGGACAGAGTGTTTCTGTTTTGAGAGAAAAACATTAGAACACAGATCTGAAAATGGTGTAATATGGGCCCTTTAAGGTCCTGGCAGGCGAGGTCCAGCTGTGATGACCTTAAGAGCGCAGGCTGCATGCAGTTCCTTTCATCCAAATCATACACCTGTTAAATCATATTGAAATAAGTCATGTTATCATTTTAACACTGTCCAGTAATAAAAAAGTACATGAGCTCTGATCTTCAATCCACTTTTTACATCTCAAAGTTATTCATACAAGCATCGGAGTCCAGAATTTCAATACAGAAAATCAGATTATGCTTCTTTTAAGATTGTAGTTTTCAATTTTCATTTTGCTGTAATTTTTTTCCATTTCTGAACGTAAAACAGCGTGATAAAGTTTCATCACAGAATCACTCAAAATTAAACAAAACAAATTAAAAATTCACTATGTAACTTTTTGGATCGGGGTCCGTCACCTGCTTTTTTCTATCGATATGTCATTGCTCTGCCTGGAATGTTCCACAGTGTGACATTAAACAACTCTACTTTAGATTTATTTAATTCAATTACAGGTGGTTTTATAGCTCAAAAATACCTTCTTCTCCACAGATCTGAC